TCAGTGGCCCGACGCTGTTAAAATTTCAACAACCTGAAACTGCCATAAGTATTCGTGTTTGACAACGCTTTAATCAGTAACACCTAATATGAAGCGTACACATCAAGTGAAATCAAAAGACAGAGGTGAGGAGGTTCGAAGATATATTTGATAGGCTATCAATATTTCGAGGATCGTCTGATCTAATGTGGCTAGCGATTGCAGAGGATGTTGAGCACGGCGCTCCCACTCGTGATCTGGTGCGGATGCATGTCTGAGAGCCTTCAGTCAGGTGAGTCCATTAAAACTAATGTGGTCAGCATACAGTGTCGAAAATTTGCAGAGCTATTTATTTTGTGGAGTTATAAGCGCTACAGATCACTCTTCCTCCTAGTGGGGTAGTGATGACCGTAAGGCGTGGCTAGCCAAAAGTTCAAACCCAACGCGTTTGTCGTTGGTAAACACTCTTCTGATAGCTTGTTAGTTTTAGCAACGTCTGATCGTCTTTCCTTACTATAAGGAACCGTGAAGTACAATATAGTAAAAAAAAGAAAAAGTACGATGAAAATTTCGGTTCTTTGTAAAGTTTATCGTTTTTTATCGTCTTTTCAAGTGGTCCTGGAAAAGGAAAAAAAAATATGTAAGTCCGTGTCGAAATACACTCGTTTTTCATTCTGGGATTTACCACTACAAGCTTTACAGCACTGTCAACATGTAAAGAAATGGACTGAAGACTGAGAATAAATCCCACTGGATGAGATAACATTAGACCACTCATTGAATTTCCTGGTTCTGAGATCTGTGTTATAATGGCGCAAATATGATAATAAAATCGTCAACTAAATTTCCCACAAACAATTATTTCCACATATTTGTTCTCAGGTTTTACCGCCACAATATAAGTCGGTTGGATTCATCTAGGATCAGATGACTCTAGCAGACCATGTGCAGCATTGTCCTCAGGTCTACTTTTACGATTAAGTAAAAAAATATTAATAACAGAAATGAGGTTAAATTTGTATTCAAAAAGGGCTCACCAATTTCGTGCCTTAAAGTAACCCTCGTGCTATTGATAGAACAAACCAGACAAGTAGTGAATAGGTCTTTATTTCGATCTTAGCGCGGTCACAGTGGAGCGTGGGATTATCTGTTCAGACAAACAAAGACTCTCAACATTCAATATAAGATAATAGGGAATACAACGCTTATACAAAACAAGGAAGTGAATGGATACTTGAACAAAACTGTTTTGGCATATGCTTGTTTGTTTGGGGTCAACTCTTAACCAACCAACCTAAGCTGTTACAAGTGTATGGAAAGTTATTTTTAGCAAAATGACTATATTTCACCCCTATGACACCTCAAGGCTTATGTGAATGGGAATACAGTGGCTATTGAAAACAGGTAACTAAATCCACAGTTAGGAATAATACTGGGGATATAAACTTATTATCCAGCACTAAACTATAATGGCGAATGCATCATCTAGTCTCAAAAGGGCAGTGATTTTCGTACTTGTTGTGATTATACTTGCTTTGGGTACTTATTGCACCAAAAAGCATTCTTGGTCTACTTTAACTAAAAGTACTTTGGTTAAAGTTTGAAATTGTTTGCTAAATTTTGTCCTAGGTACCTTTTTTTACTCCCAGACTAACACTTGTGTTCACATTGTGATCATTGTGTGTTTTTAAACCTTGTAAATCTAATTACAATGGTTGGTAAGACTCACAAATGTGGGCAACCAAATTGTTTGTTCCCCGTTGGGGAGGGAATGTAGCGTGATGACTGCAAGAAGTGGTACCACAAAATGTGTACACGCCTAAGTCCCATGGCATACAAAAGATGCTCGGAGCCTAACTCGAATTGGCTTTGTATGTTCTGCTGTGCGGATAAAAAGGCACTAATTCAGGAGGCTATGGGCCTATTGGATTTGGCCTGCAAGAGAAACGGTGACACATGCGCTGACAACACCGGCCCTGACAGTGACGATTGTGTCAGTGTAGTACCTGCTGTTACGCGACGCCTCAAACAACCGACTCTGACCGACGCGAAAGTGAGATCGCCGTTAACATTAACATGGGGGGTAATACCACCTGGTACTGACATTGATAACAGCGCACCTTTAGTGGGAACCGACGAAGTGGATAAAACCATCACCGTTCCAAATAGTCCCAATGTCCTGAGGGATGAAAAATGGACTACGGTACGTAGGAAACGAAACGAAAGGAAAAAAGCTGTCGGCAGTACACAGGTAGTAACTCGCTGATGGACTCTCATTGTGAGTCACATACTGCGCTACCAAAATCTGGTGGTAAGAGTGAAACCCATCCTGGTGTGATTGAGAAGAAAAATCAAATAACAGCTAAAACTAATGATTGTTCACTTGATAAGTCCTTGGTGGACTCTCGGAACAATCCGCCAAAGCTCCAAAGTAAAGCTTCGTCTAACATTGTGAGTCACTCACAGGACTCTGTTACAATAAAAGCTAATCGTAAGATACCAGTAGTTAATATACAGGATCTATCGTCACGGTCGAAAGCTGTTAACACAACTTCAAAGGAAGCTGAATCCCTTGCTAGTTTAATTATTTGGAATCTAGAGGAGTCGAAAGATAACGACCCTGCTAGAAGACATGCACATGATCTGAAGTTAGTGGAGTCTGTGGTAAGAAATGTGCTACGTGAAGAGGATTCAGGGGTACATATTACAAAAGTAATACGACTCGGTAAATAGGTTGGAGGCGAGACCCAAACAAGAAGAATCCTGAAGCTGGTTCTCGGGAGTTTCGAAGAAAGAGACATGTTATTGAAAAACGCACCAAAAACTCGTGACTCAAATATCCGTATTCGACCAGATTGGCCGCTTGAGGATCAAATCAAGTGGACTAATGCTCTTACAGAATTGAGAACTCGCAAATTAAATGGCGAAAATAACCTTACCATTAAGGGTTTTCGGGTAGTCAGGTCTTGGAAGCCGATGCTTCCGAGGCCTGTATGAATAAAACGATTGATTGCCAAGACACTTTAAGTGTGGGCTACGCGAACTCCCGTAGTCTTAGAAATATAACGTCCGAGCTAAGTCTGATGGTGGAAGAATTATTTCCCGATATAATCGTTGTTACAGAAACTTGGTTCACAGTAGATATAGACTGTTCTCCGTTCATTGCAGGCTATATCTGTATTAGAAGTGATAGAGTTTCAAGTCTCAAAGGGGGACGTATAATATTATACGTTAGGGATCACTTTCGTATACAATCAACCATATCGGAGGCTCACATCAGTGGCACATGTGAAGTCGCATGTTGTAAGATGAAATCTAGAAGTGGGTTAGTGACTATAGGGGGAATATACCGTAGTCCGTTTTGTCTTGCTGATGTTTATCGTAGCAAATACTTGTCCCGTTCACACCGAGATGCCAACCATGGAATCTGTACAGGTGACTGAGGAAACTGTCCTTCCGTTGATAACTAACCTCAAACCTGGTAAAACACCGGGCCCTGACGGGTTACATCCACGGTTGCTATCATCTCTTGCGGACATTATTTCAAAACCGCTTGTGACACTCTTCAACATGTCCCTTTCACTCGCTCAACTCCCTAGAGATTGGAAGGACGCTATAATCAGTCCTATATTTAAGGACGGCCAGAGACATATAGTATCTAACTACCGGCCTGTCAGTCTAACTAGCATAGTCGTTAAGTTACTTGAAAAGTTAATTCAGGTTAGGTTGCTAAGCCACATAGATTTACACAATCTGTTAGCTCCTGAGCAACACGGACTTCGTAACAAGCGTTCATGCTTGACTAACTTGCTTATTGCGAGGGAGGACTGGACAGCAGCCCTAGATAACGGTCTGTCGGCCGATGTGATATGCATAGATTTTAGCAAAGCATTTGACAAGGTTTCACACGTAGGTCTTATGCAGAAGCTCACGAGCTTCGGAATAATAGGTACTGTACATGAATGGATAGGAAATTCCTTATGTGACGGCAGACAGAGAGTGAGGATCAACGGAACGCTATCCGATTGGAAGCCGGTCAAAAGTGGTGTACCCCAAGGCACCATCTTAGGCCCTCTGCTCTTCCTTCTCTACGTTAATGAGTTACCGCTGTTGTTTAGGTCGTCGACATTATTGCTTGCGGATGATGTAAAAATCTGGAGAACAATAAAAGTGCGGCTGATCATGTGGATCTTCAAGCTGATTTAGACGATTTAGTTAGATGGGCTCGGGAGTGGGGCTTAGAAATCAATGCTAGAAAGAGTGTGCTAATGCACATCGGTCACGGTAATAGTTACTGTCACACTATTGAGGGTAAACCTCTTCCATGCGTTCAAGAGCATAAAGACTTAGGAGTAGTATTAAGTCATGATCTAAAAACAACTACGCATTGCAAAGCAGCCGCTGTCAAAGGTTTTCGTGCGTTATGGTCACTTCGCCGAGCGTTCAAATCTTTTGACGAGGAAACGTTTCGAATTTTATATCCCACCTATGTAAGACCACACTTAGAGTACTGTATCCAAGCAGCTAGCCTGTGTCTGGTAAAAGATACTAACTCCCTTGAGCGTGTCCAGCGTGTGGGAACGAAATAAGTGAGGGTTCTTTCTAGACTCCCTTACGATGAGCGTTTAAAACGCCTAAATCTTTTCCCCTTGTCGTATCGTAGAACAAGAGGTGACCTTATACTGGCATTTCGTAACTTTAATTATGATTTGAGTGTTAATATGTCTTATCTTTTTGATCCCTCCAGCACTAATAATCTCCGCGGTCATAGCAAGAAGGTTCATAAACCAAGATCTAATAAACTTAAAGTGGGGTCCCGTTTTTCTCATCGAGTAGTCAATGATTGGAACGCCTTACCCGAACAAGTGTTATCAGCCCCATCAGTGAATAATTTCAAGGAGAAGCTGGACCTTCACTGGAAAGCAGTGTGTCAGGATTAATGCAGGTTCATCAACCTACTATCCTTATTACTGAAGACTGAAGACTAGTTTACACTGGAACGTCGAGAGGATATTGAAGGCTGCACAGTGACCCTGAAGTCAGGTTGTAGCCGTTTTTTTGACCTTGTCTAACACCGTATAGTATTTGGGTGTTTATTACGAAAATAATGTGAGAAATAACCGAAAACGCAACAAAAATAAAATTGAGCGTATTTTTGATCTTAATTATTTTTTAAAAATATGTAATACCTTACTCATTTACACCTGCTCGGTAAATTGCCTTTCAGTAAAAGTCTAGACATGGACAAGTACAAATCCAACCAACCCTTCGATTCAATGGTTAGCACCGGTTCTTGTTGACCAAATGGCCAGTTTTATGCCATAAATATATAGGTTGACTATATTTAGGTGAATTCTTCGGATGTGTATCGTTTTGTTGTGGATTGTTCAAATATAATAGTCCTCAAAACTCTATTGCTCTGGTTAACACTTAGTTGAGAACCGAAGTACCTACTAAAATAGCTTTATCCGAGCTTTGAGAGCTGCTGGTCGGGTTATATCGGATGTTATCACCACCCAGTATGTCACAGGTAATGCTAATCTATTATTGATAGTTCAGAGTAATTGTGTATTGAATGAGGCGGTTGTTGTGTCACGAGTCTTATAACAATACAAATTCTAATGAGCCATTCACTAACGTAATAGGACGCTGGTTTCTTGAAAAATAAGTGCTTGTATTTACGGTATACAAATAATTTTCAAAACATGGTTATCGTGGCAAATTCGCAATTACTGTTATGCTGACTGCTATGAAAAATAACTTCGGGTTGAAAAAGTCTTGCCGGCGATCTGTTTGAGTAGAACGACTGACTCTCTAACCATCTATTGACCTAATCCCTTTTACCCTTTAGTAAATTTCGAAGTCGTGCTGATACATGATGTCAACCAAACTGTAAACCTTTCACTCATCCTGCTTACGGTGTAATTAGAAGTCTGAAGAACAAATCGAGATTCTATGGGATAAGTGCATCTTAAAGTGGGAGCCTGCTTCTAACAGTTATAATTTAGTCGTAATTTGTGACACCACTTTATTGGTATAAATGTCATATCTTATATCGGTAACGGAGTTTTCGATCCTTCATTTCAGCTATCTAGTTATATCAATGGTGTATAGTATAGCAAAAATTAATGCTAAACTAACCTATGAATCGCCACACTTCGTACGTTAAAGTGCAATACAAACCCCTGATGTTGATGATTATCCCATAATATTTATTTGGTTACACTCTGCTAATATGAGTTTTCTTATCATTATCTGTCGCTAAGTGCTTCTTCGTTGTGATTCCACATTAAGTCATAAGGGAGTCTGGTCGAAGGACTATTTACAATGATTACTTCCCTGTGGGACTAGGTCGCACTAGCTCCAATTTAAGCAGTGACAAAAACCTCGAGTTCGCAAATCTGTAACGTCTCGACCTTCTCATAGATTTTTACTGATTGCCCTTGATCACTTATCATGAGAAGTAATATTCGCTCATTTTAATAGTTTAATTAAACATGTGGTTGACAATATAGACCGGTGGTACTGACAACTGTTTACTAGTCAATTAGTAATAATAGTAATGGCTTGTAGCAGACGTTTCAACAATTGTAGGTTGATGGTTTTAAACGCACACAAAAATACTATACTCGAGAGTCACAATCAAGACACTTTTTTCAAATATTTACTAAGGACACTCAGTAATTCGCCGGTCATCCGATCTGCAGACCGCAAGAAGTACGTTTATTTACCTGTCGCAATCTCTCCACCTTCAATGCTAATTAGATACTGAACCACAGAAATCTGTCTTGTCAATTGTATTTATACGAAGGAAAAGTAAGTTTGGTTCCAACTTTGAAATTCCAGACGTATTTACGCAGTAGCACTACTCTCGTCCTTTTTTACTGTTTCGTTTTAGAACGTTTTAAAACCTAATTCTCTATCAAAAATGACTTATCATGAAATGTACAGAAGCACTACGCTGGGGACTACCCTTCGTGAAGCCCTAGATGAAATGCTAGCACATAACCTACTACAGCCTGGAATGGACCACAAGGTAACTTAGTCCATATGACACTATGGTTAAATGTAACCTTCTTAGGTTATGCAGAAGTTCGACCAATGTATAAGTAATGCTTTGGCAAAACGTGTTAAAAACCGTCTTTCGCTTCGTGGTCACCTGAACACTTACAGGAACTGTGACAATGTATGGACGTTAGTGATGAATGATGTGGAAATAAAAGATTCCTCTGCTATTATGACAGTTGATAAGGTAAGCCTAGATTGTAAGACTTAATTATGTTCTTGAGAGTAAGCGTATGCAATATTCTTAAAGTACTCGACACTCATCAATATAAGGTTTCGGTTTAGTATTCTGCAACCATTAAGTAACTCCAGCGACTGAGCCAGAGCTGATTAGCTTCTCTATTGACTATATTAAATGGTTTCTTACGATTAGCCATCATGCTTTTTTTAATTTCTAATGAATGCGCTGGAAATGACAGTTTTCACATAATATAACGGATGGTTTAAAATATTTTTCTCTCAGCTATACTACGATAATACGTTAATATGATAATCAAACTATTAACGTTATATCAAATCCAGGATTCACGACCCAGAATAGAGAACCATACTAACAATTGCAAGCAGTGGTACTCAGTGAGTCCGGAGTAGAATCCAATTGTCGGTAGGCTAGTTGCCTGTTTGTCTATGCTCAACGACCAATTATATTTCACTTCCACTACCACATATCGTATAACTTTCCGCGAATCGATCACCGTCTTTGGCAGCTTGCAGTATATAAACGAGTTTTATTTGGCAAATATGGTGGAAAAAATAATCCTTCGACCACCGTAATACACTGATATCTACGACGCATATCCTTCCCCTTCAGTCTGAAGTGTTGCTTCGTAATACCTATTATGACCAAAGGGCGTAGAGGAGCCCAGATTGCCGACTACCTTGCTTGTCTTGGAGGTTTCACCAGTTTTCTATAGGTGGCTGAGAATTAGAAATGCATCCCATTTGGTGCATACGTATACATCACTTTCTTTTAAGTCTAAAAGCCTTCCTGTATTCTTTATCTACTCATATCGAACGATGGGGCGGTAGCTAGCACATGCAAACCCACACCTCATATTCATTTCGGTTTGGCACCCGGTTAGTATCATTAGCCCTCAACAAATGCATCATTAAACCGTCCAATATATATTTAGTCTTCGTTAGTGATTTCATTATTTGGCGCTTATTTCCCTGTTTTCCTTTCGGTGTGAATGTTCTTGTTAGGTTTAAAGATCGTAATTACTGACTAATGTAGTTCGCTTTTCGGTCAGAGCCTAGATGATTTATTGCGTCAGTTTAATTTACTTAACTGTTAATAATTGCAAAATCATGTGTTCAGCTATGTTAGGAGTAAAAGTATTCACATAAGACACCCTTGTCAACTGTCTGGACTGTTATTTCCTTTTAAATTAGAACTACGACAGTACAAACAGACAGTGAAACAATATGACTTGGAATCTCACGTTAAATTTATAGTGTTTCGTCGATGATATGAGTATACATTAAGAATACAAATCCAGTGTTTTCTATGTGATTAAATTGACTCAAATATAGTTTCTATCTTACATTACCAAGTGGTCCAAGAACGTGGAGAATTACTTTGGATTACGTATTGTATTGTGCATTATGTAGTCCTCCGTCCATTAAACAGACTTGTGTACTTCAATAAATCAATACATTGAGGAATAGCTTTCCAATAGTTAAAGGACATTCTTTTATCCTAATAGAGGTTACCTTAGACTGGGTCATTGACATTTAGCATGTGCTGTATTTGTATGTTTAATAGCAGAGAATTTTATTAGTATCCAGCAAAAAAGCAACGTTTCGCTAACAAACCTGTATCAATAACTAATCATTAATACTTTTTGTCGACTTTCAGATAAAAATAGTTGCTTGTGAAGGCAAGAATGCAAAACCAACTTCCTCAAAAATATCCGTATCCTCAGTCAGTGATCGTTCAAGGTTAGGTGCTGGTATAGGCGGCGAGGATAACGAACAACGCGAAGCTTTTGATTCTGGAGATGAGATGGAATAACGAGTGACGGCTACTAGAGTGTAATTTATTAGGTGTGATATGAGAAATAACCTGTACAAATCATTCTAAGAATACATTTTTTTATCTATGAAATTATTTCTGACAAACGTTCATAAAAAGAAATTTTGAAAACGTGATAATTTGTAGAAGTTCCTTCATTTTCTAATTAAATAATATAGATACGATTAAATATCACAAAATTTGTTAAGAATTAAACCTGATATGTAGTGGAAGCTGCTGAACCGCCATGACCTGTCCAGTCGACATGAATAAACGTGCCTGGATTATCAGTTTTTTCAAATTGATGGGCTCCAAAATAGTCACGTTGAGCCTAAAAGTGAAAATGAGGATTATTTAATTCATGAAGCTTGTTTCAAAGAACTCCGCCTGTAGCTTTTCTAGAGTTACTGCCGGCCCCGAGCCCGGGTAAAGGAGGAGGGTTGGGTGTGGTGTCGGTAACCCCATCCCGTAGAAAAAATCTTTTAAAACAACGCTAACCAGATTAAACAAATTCAACCACTTAAAATATGCCCTAGGAGTTGAAGGAAGAACTATGACGCCTCATGATGAAAGCCGAGATTCTTCGGAAGTCACGAGGCCGGTGCCCCTTCTAACAACCAGAGCAACAATTTTCATAGGTACATGGAACGCCCAGACAATGTTGAAGACCGGGAAGACCAGTCAAATAGCAACGGAAATGAGGAGATACAACTTGGTAGTACTCGGAATCAGCGAAACCCATTGGACCCAAGCTGGACATAAAAGGCTAGATACGGGAGAGATGCTGCTGTACTCTGGCCAAGAAGAGGTAACTGCTCCACACACTCAGAGAGTTGCTTTGATACTATCCAAAGAAGCACGTAATGCACTTGTAGGATGGGAATCTCACGGATCCAGTACCATCAAAAGATCCTTCAAAACAAAGAAAAAGGGAATTACGACGAACGTTATCCAATGTTATGCACCCACCAATGATAGCAACGACGGCAATAAAGATCAGTTCTATGAGGGGCTGCAATCAATCAAAGCGAAGTGCCAAAGAAAGGATCTCACCATCCTGATGGGAGAATAAAACGCCAAAGTGGGGATATACAACACCGGATATGAAGATATAATGGGACGACATGAACTGGAAGAGAGAAACGAGGATGGGTAGAGATTTGTAAACCTATGTGCATTCAACAAATTAGTTATAGGCGGCACGATATTCCCACACAAAGCTACATGGGTCTCATCGGATCACACCACTGAGAACCAGATAGATCATATTTGAATCAGTAAAAAATTCAGGACAATGGAAGACGTGAAAACAAAGAGAGGAGCTCACATATCACCACCTAGTTGTGATCAAGATGAAACTGAAGCTAAAGAAGGATTCGACAGCTGGACAAACAGCACTACAAAGGTTCAATACAGCCTTCCTTCGACATGCTGACAAACTCAACCCGTTCAAGATAGCTCTCAACAACAGATTCCAAGACTTACATCTAAAGAAGAAAAAGTTACTATGGAGGACAAATGGAAATGGATCAAAGAAGCATTAACTTCAACGTGTCGGGAGGTGCTGAACCGCAAGAGGCATCATCATAAGGAATGGATCTCTATCGAAACCCTAGACAAGATTCAAGAAAGGAAGATCAAGAAGACAGCAATTAACAACAGCTAAACGAGAACAGAGAAAGTCAAGGAACAAGCTGAATACACAGAAACAAACAAGCAAGTGGAGAAGAGCATTAGAGACGAAAAGTGGAAAACGCAGCAGCGACAGCGGAAAAAGCCGCATGAGAAGGAAATATGAGACAGCTATATGACACGACGAAACTAACAGGGAAATACCGTAAACCAGAGACCGATCAAGGACAAAGAAGGCAAGACAATCACCCAGATTCGAGGACAGAAAGACAGATGGGTAGAATACTTTGAGGAACTCTTGAATAGTTTAGACCCATCGGACATCGAAGCAGCACACACAGACTTTCCTATAGATGCCATCCCACCAACGATCGAATAAACCAGCATGGCTGGTCACCAGATCAATCAAGAATGGGAAAGCATCACGACCTGACAATATAGAAACAACTGCAAACATGCTCCACGTTCTATTCAGGAACATTTGAGAGGAAGAACAAGTGCCACAGATAGACTGGAAAGACGGACATCTCATCAACATACCAAAGAAAGGAGATCTGAGCAAATGTGAAAACTATAAAGAGATCACACTACCGTCGGTACCAGCAAAAGTTTTCAACAGAGTGCCGCTGAACCGGATGAAAGATTCTGTAGACGTCCAGCATCGATGTCAACAGGCTGGATTCCGCAAGTATCGGTCGTGCACAGATGAAATCTCGATACTACGAATCATCATTGAACAACCAATTGAATGGAATTCGTCACCATACATCAAGTTCCTTGAATAAAAGAAAGCATTTGACAGTGTGGATAGGAGAACGTTATGAAACCTTCTCCGACACTGGCATATCTCGTCAACATCATCCGGAATTCATACGACGGACTACACTGCACTACATATTGGTCACATGCCATCAATAATAGCTTACTGTGGGAGAGAACAAACCAGCTGAGGAAATTAAGAAAAGACATTGGAAGTGGTTGGGATACACATTGCGGAAATCATTGAACTACATCACGAGGCAAACACTAACTTGGAATCCTGAAGGAAAACGGAAAAGAGAAAGGTTAAGTAACATAATGCCGTAGGAATCGGAAGCAGACACGAAAAGGACTGTCCATGAAAGAGTGGAATGGAGAATACTGGTGAACGGCCTATGCTCCTCCATGAGGCGTAATAGGCGTAAGTAAGTTGTTACAGAGGGTAAATTCATATTTGATGGACAATATAAAAAAAGTCAAACAGGATTCGAATCTTACTTGTATTAAATTAGAAGGTAAATGTGGACATTTTATTCCATCATAAAATGATAATGCAGAGCTGAATACAGGTGTAGGAATCGCGTTTAAAGCTCCATGAGAAACCACTCTACGCCATCCATCCTAAAAACCAAATCACAATAACAATATGAATAATAATTGCTAGAAGTGTGAATCAAGCAGATCAGAATAGCACGAGACATCACTCATCTGTTCTGCGTACTAACAAAACTGCAGCAAGTTCAAGCACAAAGCTTATTTATTTCGTTGAGATGATCATGATCCAACAATAAACCTGCCTGAATCTGTGCGTCCAGAAAAATAAGGATGAATAGGAGAATTGAATAAACCTATGAAAATTATAAGTTGGATTTCCTGATTGATAGAACAACTGGATATCGTCTTACGTTATCTCATAAGTCGAGAAACAAGAGCAAGGTTGTTATCACAATGTTACGATGATCAGTACCATCTTAATACACTATTTAGTTTAAAATCCTTATTGAATTTTGGTTTGTCAATGGAATCACTGTTACTCTCTCTTTCAAAAAAGCAGTAATTATTCACAATTTCGTCTATTATTCTTGGTACGTTTAAAAGGTTAAATAAGTTAAAGATGACACAAATGGACTGTATCATGATTCATTGCAAAAACAAACTCGATCACGTATTTGTAGCTTAATTAAAATTACTTTAAGATGGAGTAGTTTAATAGTTTACCAAGTGAATTAACAACGACACAAAAAAGTTACATAACACTTAATATTCTGTAATTAAAACAAAAAATTATCACAATCGTTAACCAACCAATAAGTAGAGAATTATTTATTCGCACAACTTACTTCGCATTGATCAATAACTTTTTTAAAGAATGGATCTAGAAGTAAATTACTCAGATTTGGATTTTTATCATAAGCTTCTTTTATATTTCCAAGGAATTTGCTAAACAGAAGTGAGAATGAAAATAACGATAACATACATAGACAACAAAAATATGTAACAGAGAACGCTATGGTTCACACTTCTGTATAACCTTATCAAAGTAATTGAAGTAAATCTCTGTGGATACAATGTAACGCAATAAACAAGCATAAATTAGTGTGCTTGACTACAATGGTCCAGGTTAAACTTGACTCATCCTGTCAAACTGGATCGAGGTAGACAGACGACGATTCGATATTGTGAAGTAGTTGATAAACAAATGGGTAGTTTGAATATTTCGGAATAAAACACGCTACAGGTATGTCAAAATAATGGCTACTGACCTGAACGATGTGCGGCAGAAGTTTATACGTGAAGTATGTAAGCTGGTACATATCAGCGCTACTATACACAATACAGTATACCTGCCGTTTTCATACATAATTTTTTATATAAAAAATTTGAAATCAGTCAAAACTATTCTCATTATGCAACATCCTTTCTTAATAAAGGTGAAAAATCAAAGAGCGCTCTTATGAAGGTACTTCGTAACGATAAGACTGAAGGGAAACAAACATTTTAACGCAGCAGAGAGCAACAATATTTACAAGAAAAATACTAAATCCAAATAAACATGAAGTAGGGAATTATGTTTTCTGTCTCAGTTCTCAGAAAAACGACTGTTTAGAGAGTAGTCTTAACTATCGATTGGTCTTCAGTGGATGCTCTAACTTGTAATTGCTGATGGTGGTGTAATTATCAAGTGACTCGGAGTCATAACTAAGCTGAATGACCCAGGACCTCGGTGGAGTTTACTTAATATTTAGAGGGTGAAATAACAAACTAGAATTGTTGAGTTAGTTTTACGATATGCGGACCTGCGTCAACAAAGCTCATATGTGACCATGAAAGAATTAATACACATTCAGAGGTTCAAAACAAGTTTTACTATTAAAGTATTCATGCTATGACCGACTTTCTGTAATGACCGGATCGTTTACCCACCAGTTAAACGGTCAAAGGTAACTGGTTCTGTAGTTCATCGATAACACTTGACTCACAAGCCGTGTTCAGACTAAGATTTGTGATAGCGCATGAATTTCTTGGTAGCTGTAGATTAGGGGAGATTTTTTCAAGTAACTTAACCAATAACTATTGCAGGTGTTATTATCAAGGTTTGACTTGATAGTTTCAAGTTTTATTCTCTGAAGAAGTGGCTTGGACTGAGTGACGAAAGGTCAGTAGATTTAATGATCTAATTTTTCTACTCATTGGAATGTTACAAATATATTATTTTTACTAACTAACCCCTAAGTCTAGTTTGTTCCACTTTGTTTGACCATTAAGCCCTTATTTTTCCTTTATATTATCCCTTCCAGTGGATTTATCTTGTCTTAATTTAATCTAATTATTATGTGTAGGGTCCACAACGAAGATACCTTAAGTTCTTTCATCTGGTCAGCGTATATGCCTTCATATTATATATATATATATATATATATATATATAAAGCTGATAACACCAACCTGCGTATGATGCACCCACCACGCCACATAAGAGCTATCGCACCAAGATCCAGTTTCCAACCAAAGGCTTGATATGCCTGTTGCAACAGCATAAATCCTTGAGCATAAGAAACTATTTTTGATGCATACAGTGCCTATAATTTAAACAACGATAACAAGTAAGGTGCCAGTGAGAAAAAACGGGCAGTATCTTTGATTTACAGGAATTTAAATGTGTGACAAACGTTTCTATATTCTAGTTATACGATAAACTGAAGTTTCGAATTTACAGTTCTCATATACCTTGACGAAATACTATAGCCATCCTACTTCACTATAACTGTAGAAACAATTTTGAAATGTCCATACTTATTGATGTTTAACCTGACAGTGAAAGAAGCCCTCAAATAACTACCGAACAAAAGAGAGGCATCATTTATCTTGAGTTTAAAAAAGCCCCTTGTACAAAGCACAGAATCAAAGTTTAAGAAATTCCACTTGAACGGTTGTAACCATATGGATATTCAACCAATGAAAACAAAGCAGCAACTTACATTAAGAAAATATTGGTTTGTAAATTCATTTTATTTAGTTTAATGAGCGCAACTTAAACATAATTCTAGCTCCCAAAGTTTAGTGCATACATATGTTTACTTAATAATTGAGCTGTGCATTATTTCTATGTATTTTATTGATTTAATACTAATTAATGGTAATTGGATATATTCATACTTTAAATTGCCCGGCGAAAATTATTGATTGTTTGTTCATTCGCAAAGACTGGATTATTTTTTCATGTCATGTGGTTATCAAATAAATAACACAATAAAAAGCAAATGCAAAAAGAAATAGCTCATCGATAAAAACAACAGCTCATCAAGCCTATTATAAGTGGACAAAAAATTGATATTGGCTCGATCCAAAAATGAAGGTGAAGGCTACAAAGAAAGTTATGATATACACTAAAATTCAGTTAGTCAGTAACAACATGGAACTTCGAGTTGCCATACCACATTAATACAGAGATGCAGTGGTAGAGATAGTAAGAGTATAAGCAATAATCGGGATGTTCAGGATTTGAAAATGTTATTCAAGGAGTATAATCCAGTGTATTAAATTAGGAAAGAGAAAAAAGGGACATGAAGAATTCAGAAGATTAGAATCTGGGAGAACACAAAGAGTGGATTCACTTGCGCTATTGCAAACGATTCAAGGTCTCTAACCATCGGTTGCTATTGTCACTCAGATCTCAACCAGGTAGTCTACACCCACCAACATGACTCAGTCCACTTGTCAGTGACTTCATGGATTTGTGCCATGTTTTGGTCTGGCCGACCCTAGCTTTCTTCCAACCTACTCCTACACCAGAAAACATCGCACGTCGAGGTAGTCGGTGGTTGGGCATACGTAACACGTGTCCCAGCCATCTCAACTGATGATGTTTCACTACGTCATCAATTGATTTGCCATCCTTACCTAGTACCCGTTTCCTAACAACTGCGTTACTTACTCGATGGTCCCAGGATATACGAGGAATGTTTCGAAGACACCTATGATCAAATACTAGTAACCTACGAATATCCTCTACTCTTACCGGCCATGTTTCACTGCCATAAAGTAGGACGGAACGAACTGTTGCGCAGTAAACCCGTCCTTTGGTTGATAGACGGATATCTCGCCTACGCCATAAATGACGCAAGTTGGTAAAAGCTAGTCGAGCCTTCTGTATCCGTGCTGAGATTTCGTCACACACCCGACCCAGGTGTCTTTCACCTTCGCTTAGTTTACCTACTTGAGCATTAAAGTCACTAGCCACTATTAATACATCAGAGCGCCTAGCTTTCCGGAGGTCGGGAAGCTTTCAGTAAAACTCATCCTTTACATCGTCTGAAATGCAGTCAGTGGGAGAGTAGGCAGAGATGATGAAGAGGCAACGACAAGTGTCCCTATTTTTCCGAGTCTTTACTGTTCCGTTTAGTCGGACAGCGCACAAACGACTGTCTACTGGGATCCACTCTAAGAGAGCTAGTTCTGCCCTAGGACTCAATGCTATACTTACGCCGGCGACGCCACGGAAAGCAGCATCAGGGCTTCCAGATACACGAAGCGTAAATCGAGTTGGTTCGTTACTTTGACATGGTGATGTCAAATGAATGACGCTACCTGGATCCTGTATGTGCGTTTCGGAGACGCAGCACACATCAACGGTGCGAGATTCTAAAGTACCAGCTAGGGAAGCCTGTTGTCCTATTTGGCACAGTGTTCGGATGTTGAAAGCTCCTACGTGTAGTTTAGAGCGTGGTTTCAAGAGACCAGGAATAACGTTCCGCGTACTCGAATCGTTTGCCCTAGCGGTGCGAGGTGATAAAGGGACGTGAGAAGGGTTAGTCGTGGAGATAAGAGATTTATTTAGAGATGTAGGAAGGATTTGAATGTGATCAACTTGGTCTCGTGTGTTGTTACGGGTGTGAGGGCTGATATGATTTCCCGGCTGCTCACACTGTGGAAGGGTATTTCTTGAGGAACCTGAAAAGGAAGTTGGATCAATGTTGGCCTTAAGGACCTGGGAGCGTGACCGCAGAGTCCAAGGGACAACTGTTTGGAGCCGGTCGCGCACAGCTTTTTTGTGGGAGGTTTTTAATATGTTAGCTCCGTTCTTCAAAGGGCCTTACCGCCGGAGACGGAAACCCGTGAGGTAAGGTGAGGTGTGACATTTTTAGGACCGATCTTTTCTAACCCCTTCCTTCCTTGTGAGAAGGCAGCATCGTTGCAGATGCTGGTTGTCCGAGGGAAACATCTTACTGCTGTAACACCTCTCTACAGTCAGCAGGACGACTTCGCCCTCAGACCGTGAGTTGCTGCTTTTAGTCTTACCGTTCTCCAATCGACCTGCCTGGTATGGTAGAACCTACAGGAACATATGTTCCAGTCAATATAGGTCGGCTGGGTCATCACGATAGGCAAGCCCGACCACCACGTCAAGGTAGCAGCTACAGTCGGGTTGCACCAAAAAAAGTTTTTTTTTAAAGTCTGATTTCGCTAATTGCTGTATTTTATTTGCACCGATTAACAGTTACCTTTGAATAAATTGAACTGGGTAGCACTAAATACTGATTAGTTAATAGCTTAGTATATAGTCACAATTTAAGATTAAACGGCTGTAACTAATTTATTGGGTTATGTATGACGATTTCTTTCTAACACTCATGAACTACTATTCAGGTAATCAGAATCGTTTCACAATGTAAATGAAATCTCAAAACCCCATCTTCCAAAATAGGGGTATGGATCTTACATGGAAGTACTTTTATCATTTTATGTCATTAAGACACTATGCAGAAAGAACTGAAGTTACAGGACCTTTGCCCTACTTTTTTATTTTGCTTTGTTATCACGCGCTGACATCGCGGGTTAAGCTGATGGGTATATTCATAAAACGGATTGAAGCAATTATAAGCTTTTGATCAGATTTCGACAGTGATATATGTATCTACATTTATTTATTTATTTTAACACATAGATATTGGTACAAGGAGGCACCAAATACATATACGCCACACAGATCACACTTGATATGTGTGAGGGCTGTGATAATACCCGGGCCCACAAACCGAAGCAGGTGGTTTTCTTAGAGGACCACAACCCGAGCCTTTGACCTAGAGGTCTGATCCACAAGGCAGTGGAGCATCGTGAGGAGATGCAGTCCCACGATAGCCGGTGACCAACAACTGGTTCATACGCCATTTGTTCGCGCAGGATACTGGAGCCCATGTGCACGATTGGTTTGGAATCCGGTTAAAGCGCCGGACATTCGCTTTTCGTCCTCTCAGTTTCGTAAACAACACCCCGCCACGAGAAGGTAGTGAGTAGAACTTTCCTGGCAGAGGCTATATACGCGTGGCCATATGAGAGCATTTGGCCGTACCAGAGCATTTGGGGGCATGTATTTACATACCATTTGACCATTCTATATAATAATTGGTGCCTGTAGGATGGTTGATTTTTCATCACAGGAATAAGTATACATGAAAGCAGAGATTTCAGTCATGTCAAAAATTTTTGAACTACCAAAAGGATGTCGTTCATATGTAACATAAATTTGTAAGGTTTTTTCGGGAGCGTAGAAGTATGTTAACACGAAGATAATTATTAGATATGGTAATTAGCAGGAAATTCAAACGACCAACCGAAATGAATAAGCGAACATGATTAATTATTACTATTCTTCGTGAAGGTTATAAAAGTTAAGGCATTTTACCGATTTACAGGCAATCTAGAAAAAGTATCGGAACATGGCGAGTGACTAACCACATGATAAGAAACAATGTTTTTCATTATCCTACAGCTGAAATGTTTATCATTGCTTTTAAATGATGAATCCAGTAATCTGATAACTTTCTACATTGAATATTCACATAAGCATCAATCGCATTTAATTATTTGTCTTTTGAGGACCCAAATAACGGTGTTATTTTGGATAAGCAAGATGCATTTAAACTACATCTGGATATTAACTATTTGGTTAACCGCTCTTCATAAATCCTCAATAACCAATCCATCTTATTAAGTAAACGTTTATGCAATCGACTTTGAGTTATATTATTTGAAGGTTAATGATATTATGAGTGTCCAAACCGAGGTGTTTACATCGGAGTTCGAACTTGCGACCTATATGCTGAAAGCTAAGTGTGCTTATCATATAGTTAGTCATCACTTCTTGGTTATATGCCATTACTAACCATCTGTCTTCACCAGTACTTACATCTGTATGATTTCACTAAATTTATTATATGCCCCACAGCCAACAATTATCTTTACATGATGCCAACTCAAAACAGTAGTAATTTTGGAGGTAAACATTCCAGAAGGAAAAATAACCATATTATTGCATGGTACAAAATATTTTCCTCAAAGTAAAGCGATACATAATATGAATGAACTTACTTTCCAAATGTCATCAATAAGTTTCTTTGCAATTTCCGGGCTAGAACAACAAAATGGTTTGTCAGGTGTTGTATTTAACACACGACATGCTTCTGAACGAAGCGTTCTCATTGATGATAATTGACGGGAAAATACAGCCTCAGCTTTTTAAAAAAAACGTCAGTATCAATAAATTTGAATAGTTATAGCGGTTGGTGATTAATCAAAAATGATACAATTACAAATGTAAAGATCTTATCCACTAGATTGCTTTATTTAAAAGACCTAAACAACTATTTTTTGTTTTCAGTTCTAGGGAACACAAATCTTACTTTGAACGCAATTCGCTATCTTAAATAGACTAGTAGTAGCTCCATGAAATAGTTAACACAGTAATTTACAATATCTATATATTTGATGGACATACAGCCTATATGAACTGATAGAAATATTTCTGAGTAGTACGGATAGGTAGACAATTATCCATAATGGTCCGCTAAATTTTCTCATAATCAGACCACTAGCTGTTTGTTAACTATGAGGGGAGACATAGACCTTGAAATGAAAAATTATCTCAGTACGCTGAAATTGTATGGTTCTAAAAGAGCGGTTGCATATTCAAATTTACTAGCCCAGTATGGACTGAATAAACTAAAATTTCCCTGTTTAGTCAAATTCACGGTCGAATCGACTTTTTCTGACTGCATTAAAATAGTTGCTTTTTATAATAGTACTATGGTTTTCGTAGAATATAATTTGATGTTGGAGAGTTTTGATTCTTATTCAATCTCCATGAGGGACAGTGTATGTAGTGAATATCAGTAGTATAATACTAATCAAATATAAAGTATGTTATGTACTACCAAAATAAAAGATCATCATATAAACAGACGGTAATATTTGAGTATGAGTCAATCTAGACTAAATACGTTACACACACGCAATATAAGAATAGGAATATTTCGGTGTTACTCTTCATAAATTGTCACTCTAACCTTTTATACAAACTATGACAAAAAGATTATGATGATGAAAAATGTTTGACAAAACACGTGAGCTAAACTAATTTTAGTTTTATGTAAATGTTTATAAGTGGCTTTAATCTGTATAAAAAATATGATGAACGCTTATTAAAAGAATTATTATTATTGAGTGTCATCCGATTTTTCAAGTAAGGCACTTTACAACAATGAATCTGGGAGTCATAATGGATAATAAACAGATTAAATGATTATCGTCAACATTTAAGTCGAAGCCTATAGTCTCCAAGTCAACTGATATTATATTTTTTATCACAGTTATGGGTGAATAAGTAATGAAAGTGAATAGGCACTCGGTAATATATTTATTGGACCTAGGACGAATGTTCATTAGCTTAAGTTGCCACAGTTTTCATCAGCGCAGAAAGAAGATAGAAACCAAAGGGAAATCAAATTATTAGTAATATTAATGGTAGCAGGTATGAACACATGAATGAATGTAAAAGAAGAAATAACAAAATTAAAGATATAAAAAAAGAATGAATATATGTGTGGTGCTTTGACTGATTGTGAACTATATTACTTAAAATCTCTGATTAATTACCACGATTATCTAGCGAACGCTACTCCGGGAAACATGTATCTGTTGTTAACAAATTTCAATCAGAGTTCATAATCCCGTCGAATGTTTTATCTTGATTTACTTCCAGCTGTAACTTTTTTCTAATCTACTTCTGTGTTAAGTCACTACTGCATTTTGAAAGTAGGGTATAGGTAAAGGCATCTATAGTTTGAAAGATATGCAGTTCAGTTTAATCATAACTTTACTGTAAATTAAATAAAACTAAAAACTATGAATATGAATAAATGGTAAAGCACATAAGATAGTTGAGAGGGAAAAAAACAATTTTATCTTTAAAAAAGGAGATATTTAAAGTTTATTAATTATGGTAGAATATATGAATTATAATAGATACTAAAATTATAAATAGGTGGTATAAAATAAATTCTACACCCAATTGGACGTAAATACTATTTAGCCCTGAGTAGTAATAAATATAACATAGTACTATGGATAGGTAAGGCGTTTGACAATTAAAATGGATCACCTATTAATTAAGTCTATTTCGAAAAAAATTATTTAACTTTTTAATGTACTTGTATAATTTTCAAAAAAATTTAATTACTATTTTTGCTGGACAGAGAACGCCTAAGTTAAATATTATCACATGAGAAATCCCCATCATATTCGAAAACAGATAAATGAACAAAGTATAGTATGGGGATTTGTGGAGATTGCAGTATTTTAATAGTTGATATCACGAGTCGATCTAAAACCACCAATGGAAACCTGGAAGCATTGGACGTCCGTTTCGTCCTGGTATGGGACTCCTCAGCAGTTTGTATCCACGATCCCTCACGCGAAACAGTCATCCACCCCGGACAATGGATGAAGGGTTGTGCAAGACCCTGGATCGATTGAAGTTAGACATTAACATCGATGAATGCCGGCTCAGTGGTCTAGATTTTGGGCTTTCGCGCGCAAGATCAGAGGGCCTGAGTTCGAGTCCCACCTGCAGCACCATGGATGCGCACTGCTGAGGAGTCCCATAGTAGGACTAAACGGCCAACCAGTGCCTCCAGGTTTTCAATGGCGGTCTAGCTTAGATCGAATCCTGAATTCGACTGTTAAAGAAGTCTTTTAAATAAATTCTCTTCAAGTTCTATAATTATATATCTGAATTAAAAGTCCAGAAGGTTGTCGGGTTTTGCTTACGAATTAGTAAATAGAGGTGGGTGATGAATAATTTCCTCCAAGGGTTTGCAAGCGTTGTACTAATAATGACAACAATAGTGGTGGTATCAATAATAATAATGATCATGATAAGATGTGAGTAAGTTAAGCTATAAAAATGCAAAGAGGAAGGCTGTATTGACATTGATCATGTTGCGTCACCATATTATCAAATTACCATCAACCAATTACGTCAGAAGTTGGCCAAGTTAAAGAAGAAACGGTTGAACATGTTTTTTTCTGAACACAGAGCTCCGGTTTTTTCATCCGAAAAGCTATTGCTTAAGCCATCTGAAGAATCCTAAGTCTGACGGATTTAGGCAGATTGCTGTTAACACGATATATTACTGAACATGATTGCTTCATGTTGGCCATATGGTCCGTTTGTACTAAGTGGGCAAAAATCGAGTTGTAAATAGTCTTAACTATACCTTTGCTTAAATTGTTAATGTGCTGTGCCAATGGACCATTTTCCAGCCTAATGAGAAAAATGTCATCCTATATAGGATCTAGTGGTGAACCTATCGCGACACCATCCATTTGTCTGCATATTTCACCAGTGTACTTTAAGCGTACAACCATAGTGCATTTTAGTAATAATTCCTTAACGATGTCCACAGGGATTGTAGTCTTTAATACTTGTCCCATAAGTTGTTCACAGGTATATTCGACAGTCTCCCTGAAAGGGAGATTTACAAGCCAAGAAGTTACGTCTAAGGACATCATCGTTTGTCCTTCAGTGTTTGTTTTTAATCTTATCCACAAACTGGAATACATACTTAACACTGTGCTTGTGAGTGGTTTCAAAATGGTTACCATCCCATGTCTATCTCACGCAGACCTATATTATGTTGATATAAGTAATGGAATAGTAAAAACTTCATAATTGGTTTGAAATCCCTGAAACTGCATAGTCTGTATAGTGCAGTGGGATAAATTATCCTGAAGAAACGCATTCATTGGTCATTAAATAATTATTAGGCCAGTAGACACTTATCAAGTTTGTAAACACAATCTAGTTCACATACTAGTTTCTAAACTAAATATATCTGCTTCGGGTGTAACAATAATAGTACAGAGATGAATTCAGAACCGCAAATGAATGGTTCATATTTTAGTAGTTAGAGTATTTAGCATTTGATGTTGATGTGCTCTTGAACAATTCTGATGGATATTTTACATGACGCAAACAAATGAAGAATTACCACTAATCGTATTGGTGAGCTACTGATCTGACTTGCACAATACAGTCACCCTTGCTATACTATATGAATATGTCTTCAATATAACTTCCAACCAAACCCTTTCATATTGTAAGCAGCTGACGAGGACCTACGAAATAAAAATGAATACATGCTATTCTGCTAGAATCTTTGTTCTTGCTTTTTTCAAAATGATAAAGGGAGCTATATGTATGAAACAGTCACTTATGTTTTATTAAATGAAATTTTCATCAAATTTGCTATGTCATTGGAACTTCAGTAATATAAATATGCACTTTACGAGAAAGAAGTACCACTGGTCACCTGATATTTGTGTTGTTTTTCAATACCAGCATGCTTTCATGGCTTACATCAACATTACAATCACATGGGCTAGTATCAGTCGATTACTGTGCATGATTAGGACTATATTCGTGAGTCCAATAAACAAAACGTGTTTCGTAATAATGCTAAAACATACCTCGTATAAAAACTCATACGACTAAAATCTTTATCATAATATATGGTTTCAAAGAGAATCTAATATTTCATAGCTATGAAAAAACATATATGACATATACGTGATTAGACACAATCCAAATCAGTGGAATAAATGTATTACTATAAAGAAACACAGTTTACTCGTGAAAAATAAACCCAACTAAATAAATAATATGGATTGAACTAGGAGTCAGTATACAAATTAAATAACTTACCGATCAGCGTCACAGGAACACCATGATCAAGTCCACAAATTGCAGTCCATTTACCAGTACCCTTCTGAAGATGAAAAATAAAGGAAACGGAACTTTTATAGCTTCCAAAGCTTACAGTTTACTTGAACCAATATACGCTTGAACCAGGTTGAATATTTCTCGTTATTTAGGATGGACTAGGTATTCTAAGATAATATATGGTGGAAGTTCAAAAATCTAACTTCACTTGCTAGTACAATGTCATTGTGACTGAAGAAATACACACCACCGTGACTTTAGTATTCATATTAGTAGTAATGTGTTTTGATTTTATTTGAACACATAAATATTGGTACAAGAGGGCACCAAATATATATGCGCCACACAAAACAATGAGAATTCGAGGAGAAAAAAAAGAAGGTAAGGAGCATAAAAAAGAACAATAACGAATAGATTAGTGTAAGGTAGTGTAATAGTAATAAAAATAATAATAGTAATAGTGGGGGAAACGGAAAGGTACAATCAGAATAAATCTCTCAATTAAGGAAGAAACAAGCACGTTTTATAAAGAAAGTAAAAGAAGGTTACAACAGGATCGCCACTGGCTTCTATTCTGAGCCATATCTGATAACGTCTCCAGCCAATGTGTTGCACCATCTCTAGGACCCCAGCCAGAGTCGTGAAGGAACAACACAAGCCAGCCCTTTGCAGCTTTCTTTCATGCCACAACACCATGTCATACACTGAAAACCTCTCCGCTTTTTCCAACCAGTCCGAGTCGGCAAATAATGCACGACGTAGAATTCTCTGGGACGACATTCGTAGAACATGTCCAAGCCACCGGAGTCGGTGTTTCAAGATGGTGACACCAACTTCATTATCATCTCGGTGTCCGAACACACGATGCCGAACCTCTGCATTACTAACATGGTGTTGACACTGGATGTCAGCAATCCTTCGGAGACAACGATGGTCAAACACAGAGAATCGTTTAACGTCCTCAACTCGGAGAGGCCAGGTTTCACAAGCATAGAGCAAAACTACTCTCACCGACGCGTTGTAAATCCGACCTTTTACAGCCAGACTAACATCACGAAGGCGCAAAAGGTGGCCCAGATTGACATAAGCCACTCTGGCTTTCACTGTTCGTGCATTGATCTCATCACTCACACCCCCACCAGCACTTATGGAGCTACCTAGATACACGAACGTCTCGACTACTTCTATCTGCTCACCATTCAGGGTGAGTACAGGATTAGAATCCTTCCAGTCTTGAAGAAGTACTTTGCATTTTGAAGGTGCAAAGCACATTATTTATTTATTATTTATTCAAACACATAAGCATTGGTACAAGGAAGCACCGAATAGATATGAGCCACATAAATCATCCGATTTGTGTGAGGAGTGTGATACTTCCCGGGTGCCCCGACCGAAGCAGGTGGTTTTCTTAGAGGGCCACAACCCGAGCCTTTGACCTAGAGGTCTGATCCACAAGGCAGTGGAGCATCGTAAGGAGATGCAGTCCCATGGTAGCCGGTGACCAACAACTGGTTAATACGCCATTTGTTCGCACAGGATACTGGAGCCCATGTGCACGATTGGTTTGGAATCCGGTTAAAGCGCCGGACATCCGCTTTTCGTCTTCTCAACTTCATAAACACCCCGCCACGAGAAGGTAGTGAGTAGGACTTCCCTGGTAGAGGCTGTATACGAGTGGCCGTGTGAGAACATTTCGAGAGGGAGGGCGTGCCCACCCCACTCTCGGCCATACCAGGGCATTTGGGGGCGTAGTATGTAGTGTATGTGAAATATCTTTTATAGATGAAATTCACTAATGTTGTAAAGGTTATTTAGTGTGAACATAGTCCTAAAGTCAATCTGCAATAATAAATTACATTTATGAAAGAAAGTAAACAATCTTGTTTTCATTTTGAAATAATTGGTCATATGATATTAGCTTTATAGGTCATTCACTACTCAACAGGATTAGGATCTCATTATCCTGTTTAAATGACTTTCACTAGACCATGAAACCAGGGAGATTTGGTCGTAGGATGTGTTACGTTATGAAGTTGCAAAGTGAGTAAGGATTCCGAACAATTTTAACAATATCCATAAGAAAATTGTTAAACTGCAAGAAGTCTATTGGAATTTTCTGTTACTTTTTTGTTTATCTTCATCTGATGTGATAACCTTGATGGTTCTTTGGGATAAATTTGGAACCAGGGAAATTTTTGAACCAAATGTATGTGGAAGATCAAAGTTAATACACTGATTTGGATATATCAGTTTACAGTAGATAGTCAAATTTAGAGTCCCACTTAAGTTTATTTCGATTAAACAATCAAATGGCAGCTCATTGTGTTCGTTTTCTTTCTCGTACGTAAATTTGGTATGAACTCAGAATAAACTTATCAATTTAGAAAACGTCCTTATAAATGTCTTTTCAATGATGATAAATATATCATCTACATATGTGAGTAAAATTCATGGTCTAATGGCATTGAGAAATACTATGCCGTTTGGCACATTAATATTAAGTGCAAAAAATTTTCGAGTTTCATGTCTATTCCAAAGAGCCATCAAATTATCACATCAGATGGAAATAAACAGAAAGAACGGAAAAATTTAATAAGTTTTCCAATGAATATTATTAAAATTGAGTTAAAATCCTAGTGGGTTTATATTAGGTTACGGATATGGAGGATCTTAATAGTAACTTCATGTAAAAGAGTGAAGGTCTACTTGCCTAAAATTGACATTTATTTCTCAGTTGATGATGAGTTGGATGTACAACTTCTAATAGTATCCAATATTATTAAAATCGAATACCAGAGAATACAATTCTACATGTAAGTGCAAATGTATTCTCTCTTTATATTCAGTTAGATGTTAATTTCCAGTATTCCTCCATATATACCTTTTCATTCCGTCTTCTTGAACTATACATTGAATGTTTAGACTTTTTCACTATCATAACTACTACAGTCATTTCGACTCCTTTGCTGTTCATCGTGTAGATTTTATCTCAGCACTGTTTTACTCTAGTATGCCGACTTTGGATGACATACAATTGTGGTAGGGTGTACGTTGATTACGACTAAATGACTGTAGATCCATGTATAAGGGTGGGACGTACATTTTGACATGAAAATAAGTGATACTAATTGGTTGCTCAGACCGAAATAGATGAATTATGGTTCAATTTGATGATGCATAGAGAAGTGGTATAACAATAAAATTATCACCCAAAAGTATCAAAAAACTTAAGTACAAAAAAACAGAAAGGTCTGTTGTAACGAAAGAAAAGAATGTCATCAGTCACATACTTGTCCCGCAGCATCCAGTATCTGATCAATAAGGTAGGAACCGTCAGGATTCCGGTAATTAAATATATGACTAGTTATTTCAATGAGGTAGGATTCCAGAGGACCTTCGTTCCATTCTTTGAAAACCTTTAGCAAAAATTTGAAAATACGAAGAATGTAATCAAGTGTTTGAAGGCTAATAAATATTGATATGCTGTCTTTCGTCTCGCCTGTATCGAGTGTAATGTCATCCATGTGTTGGTTTGCTAAGTAAAAGACTTGATTTGTGGTTAGCACAGGGGTAATCTGGTAAAGGTTATAATTTATAATTAATAATAGTATCAATAGATATAGGGATCAGTTTCCTACATCTATTGACAACCACTTACTTGGAGTCATGACAGGAACATATAAAAGTACTGTTACAATTCATTAAGTAATAATCAAACGCGCACTTCCGATTACTGGTAGCATTTGCATCAATCACTCCTGCTGCGGTGTAAATTAAAAGGTAATGATAAATTGGTTGATGAAACTGTTAGTTTATCGACTAAGATTGCTGGAACATATTTTACACGCGACCAAAGATCATCTACTCTAGTGAGCAAAGATGTTGGAATAAAAAGGAAAAAGGAAAGACGAAGATTCCAGACGATTCAACTATTAAACTGAGATATGTTAGGAAGTGTAGACCTCCTGGATAGATAAACTCAATCTACAGTTGGGAACTCTGATAATGCCAGGATTCGGTCGTAGTGTTCCAGATGTATACATCTTTACTTTTCACAACTAATAGTAACCTTATTTCAGCATTTTACTATTCATCATAAATTTTTATCCCCAAGCTTATATAAACATGGAGATTTGGAATAATGAGGATCCGTGTACAATATACAAGAATTAATACTAATAGTAAGGTGAGGAAAAGATAAGGATAAGAAGTGTGAAAGTTGGAAGGGGTGTTTAATAATTAATAACCCAAACGAAAGACAATATACCTAAGTACTTAGAACAAGAAACAATAAGACACTTACTTGTGCTATTCCATCATTTTGAAAATGGCCCAAATACCGTAACAAATGGTATGCTTCTGCTATCAACTGCATGTCAGCATATTCAATCCCATTATGGACCATTTTTACATAATGTCCAGAACCAGCAGGTCCTGTCTAAAAAATAAAATGAACGAAACTCACCATAAAGGTAGACTAACGTCTGATCTCAGGGTATTAAGTAGAAATAGAAAATAATATACGGTAATCTACATCCAAAAAGTAAAGTAGAAATCAATTTCAAGAGTTTAGGATAATAGACTGGTGAATAAACTACTTGGTCACATAATTCCATTTCTATTATTATCATTACTATTAAACGAAACTAACAAAATATTACTTGTTTTTAGACGACATTCAATAGAACAGAATACAAAACAAATGACAATGGAAAGAAAAACGAATCATCAAATTTAGTATATAGTCTAATTATAAACACACTATTATAAAGCGCAGAGTACTACATTTAAGTGAACCTACCCAGTCACAGCAAGGTTCGCCAGACCTGGCTTTAGCTGCGATTGCCTGAAATATTGGTTTGATGTGAGGCCTGAAAAATATGATGCACAGGTAAAAACACCATGACGAAAACGCACAAAAGAGACAGAAACGACATAATACTTGCAACACCGAAACATAGTAAGAAATTTTCTTATGGGAAAAATCGAATATATTTCTATATAAGCCAATATTAAAGCAGAAAGCCCTTATAACTAGTACTAATATTCCTTAATGCTGTTCAATGGATTTAGTTTGTGCAACCTTCGACTACGTGTCGCATAGTGAGAGTAATATGAAACTACACTTCTCGAATGTTAAGTGGAACAAGTTCACAAAAAGTAGTCTGTATAGAAGTGGATCATATTCCATTGATAGATAATTCGCTTGACCATCTCTTGACTGTCGCGAAGTAAAATGAGTTGACCTCGTGTGTGTAAAAAATCACAATTTTAAATTTTTCAATGATGATTTTTAAGCCGTTTAAATTTTTCTTAAAGAAACAATTAGTGCTTTGAAAGTATCCATGTCCGGACGACAACGAAGCCTAACCATAGGAAGCCTCAACTAAGCCTTCAACACAAAGATATATAATAATGTCTTTGGTATAACTAGCATACACTGCTGCATCCACTAGGCTTCGATTCATTGGAGTGAGCGACCTAGAAAATTATTATTGTCCAAACCTTTACAGCATCTAACCACATTTATTTTTGTCAATACTTTTTACATAAGCATTTTAATTTATCAGATAAAAAAACCTACTATTCTAGCTAGCGGCCTTGTCTGTTATCTCAGTTCGGGTTCGAGTCAACAGGCCGATCTCGTAAGTAATCACTCAATCACATTGTATCCTTGCATGTAACTAACTTCTTAGCAATTTATTGATTCGTTTTGGCATTTCAAAAAGGTCTCACTTAAACTCCATGACAGTCAATAACACATACTTATCTCAATACGAAATATTTCATAGGGATCCTCATTGGATTATTCCGGGGTCTGCAAGTTTCCGAGAAATTATTTTACCACTTGATGATGCAAAAAAGTAGCTTACTTAGTGATGTCTATCCCCAAACAAATAGGCTCAAATATCTGTAATATATCATAATAGATCAATTATTTATTAGGTCGCGCAAAATTAGATTCCTCTTGATAATAAGATTAGTTACAAAACGTCCAGAGAATCTGTGTCAATTTTACCAAGTAGGTACTTTTTCAAGTACTATTACTTGTATGCCCCCAAACCAAACTAGGTGATAATTGGTTGCAAGCCAAGTAATTTAACCACTGGACAGAGAATGGTGCATATGCGGGCGGATCACATCCTTATTTGCCTGATATATGTAAATATATAAACCAAGTGAATATATTTCTAGGAATTTAGAAAACAAGTTTAGGCGGTTGGGGAATCATAACGGTATTCAGGCACTAATACGATTGCCTAAGCGTTCTCAGATCCACAGTAACTACAAGATTTATTAGTAGCCAGCAAGTTGTACGAACTGAAAGACTAATAATAGGGAACAGAAAGACACCGATTGATAATGACATGGAAGCAACTTACCAAGCTTCAGGGTTACCGCCAGGCATAAGACTTGGTCCATGTCTAGCACCCTCTTCTCCACCACTTACACCCGTGCCGACATAAAGGATCCCCTGCTTAGCTAACTCAGAACAACGTCTGTCAGTATCCATATACTCAGAATTCCCTCCATCGATTATGATGTCACCTTTCTCAAGTAAAGGTACCTAAGACAGAACAACAAATACACAATAAAATACATTGCAAAATTTTCGGATGTAAAATGGTACTTTGAATTGCTAAGAAAAATTTTATCACGCCAAATGTCTCATAAAAAACGCTGGACATCAGGAAATCTTTCTCATTATCAACTAGCTCTTACTATGAATATACACATACTGATTTAAAATATGGGTTTTATCTTAGTTCGTTTCGTCCCACATCGTTAAATACTAGTATATATTCAACGGAGGTAAATCCCCACTACAAGCACTAACACGAACTTTGTTTTGTACGAACAGAGTGAAGCTGCCAGTCCAATAAGTAGAAAATTGGGACTTCGAACAAGCTTATATCGGTTTAGGTTGTCATGTTTGGAATCAGAAAAGATAACAAAAGTAAAAACCAAGGGACTAAGATAATAGCCCCAGTAATTTAAAACTAGGAGAAAACGCCCAAGGACACTTAAAAGTAAGAAGATAATATCATATTAATGACTAGAAACAATATGTAGTATGGCTGTCTCGAATACAGACTGTAACCTGTCTTTCAACATCTAGGAACTGATTAGAACCAATCACTTGAGAAGCAGAAAAACCAATGGTTCACTTTAAGCAGGAGGAAACAGAAGTCAATCTTTATATTTAGTGTAAAACGTGCACAATCCAACATCTCCAAAAGTCAGTTACAATGATAACGAACGACTAGATGCCGCACAACACTCGTGACAGTAGAACACAGATCGAAAAGAATATATCGACCAGACTAGGTACATAAGGCCATGCAAAATGGAATAAAAACAGGAAGCTTGTGCTAGACCTTGGACGAATATGAACTTACTAGTTTCGAAATAAAGTCATCGACTGCTTGACCAGCTTTAACCAGAAGCATGGCTTTCCTCGGACGCTTTAAACTTTGCACAAACTCTTCTAATGACATTGTTCCAATGATATTTGTTCCCTTAGCTTCATTTTCAATAAATTCTTTAACTTTGGAAACAGTTCGATTATAGACTGAAACCTAAGGGGTAAACTGTGGGTAAATGAATCTATATTTACCGTAAATCCATGGTCGTTCATGTTAAGGACCAGATTCTGACCCATTACTGCCAGACCAATCATGCCAATATCAGCCCGAGCCATCGTCAAAAGGATTAGGCTGAGAACTAAGTAGCCCGCTAATACAAATTCGACCGAAAAGAGTGGACGTTTTAACAAAATTGATGAGCTAAAACAATATGATGGGCAACGCACAACTAAATAATTCCTTAAAATAATGAAAGTCAAGATAATTGCAAACATCAAAAACTCTTTTTAGATGAGGGTCCAGTATTAGTTGTGATTTATTAGGAAGAATAACAAGGCACTTTCATGTCTCATAATCTCAACCAATACCGCACAAGCCGAAGAATAAATTCTCCCCAATAAAAATAGCAGCTCCCAGTATTTGTTTCAAGTATTTTAGCCCTCTCTCTTCTCTGGGCTCGGTATACAAATATGACTACTTAAGCCCATATATTTGAATCGACGGATTTTTCTAAGTATTTTTGAGTAACCACTGGGAGCAATGTCATATTGTTGAGAAATAAAAGAAAACGAAATGGAAGTTATTATCAGGAATGATATATATGATGAATAATGAGCATAAGACTACCATGTTGCATATCTGCTTAGCAGGAAAAGCATCTCAACAACTCGGTGCTACTCAGTAACGGCTGTTACCAGCCCTATGGTCTTCATGTGTTTGTCGTTGAAAGTAAAACTGTTTACTTCAATGGTAGATAGTTGCTGAACTGGTCATTTTTACAAGTCATGTGTCGCTGTAATTTACTGGCTATTTAATGGGGCTGCAATTGTTACATTTGAATGCTCTTATATACCGTACAACAAATCAAATTTCAATTACTGCCTGCAGTAACTTGTTATGTAATGAACAGGAACTCAGGTGAGGGAAACCAGTTTATTTTTTCATACAGAATTATAGTATCCTGACAAAATATAGAAGCCATACATAATTTGCACATCTTCCTTACCTGTTTTCCTTCATGTTTTTATCAACTCAACCACGTGTTAACAGGCATTTCACTTCTGGTTGGTGCCACATACTTCATATATCTCCCGCCTTAAGTAGAATACACCACATTAGTATCTGATGGGAATTCATCGTTTGACATTGGTGTATACCACGGTCTAGATAACAGTTTTTCGGTAGACATTATTAGTGCTATTATGTACAAGTACCACCGCGTAACGATGATAATTATTTTATGAGGTCTTGATGAGTATGGTTAAAAACAGTATTAAGAGTGGAAAATGGTCTAATCAGGCTTTGTATTTATCCAACATTCCTAAACACTATAATTAGCTTCGTAGTAACTCCAGCATGTATATGTAACAAACTCGATGATCTTTTCTCAAGCCAGACGACTGAGTCGACAACAAAACAATGGTTTACCAGTAATGTATAATTTTCACCATGATCACTGATGGCAAATGTATTGAAAATGACTCCGAATAGCAACGTTCCTGTATACATATTTAAACAACCAACAGAATCTAATCGCAACATAAGTGAATCAATACAGCTAGATTGAAGAAATAATTTATAATGATCAATAGCATTCGAATTAATGTACTAAGAGTTTACTAAATAGTACGATTTCGAGGAGGTAGAATCGGATGAGCATAAATGAATGTGTTCTATTCGCAATTCGTAATCAAGGCACAATCAGTGTACAAAGGAATCATCAGTCAGTACAAATACCACAACCGCCATGGCTTAAGTCCGAATCCAAATTTCTGTAATCAATTGTACGTATTCTACTTACGTTCATCATGTTTCTGTCTGGCTGTGTACGGCGAGACTCTAATTTTTGGACGAGCCAATCAAAGGCGTCCTAGAGATTTCAAAGTTACGGCGCCAATTTCAGTGCTAACGTAAGTCCGATTCGTAGGGAATTTTGTGCAAAATGTTATAATTGAGCGCCTATAACAAATAAAACGACTGGACTATAATTTGTGGACGAATCAATCAGGTATAAGACAACAGATCTAGGATTTTGGCGCGAAAGCCTTTCATCCATTTGGCTGAATAGAGTTTTGGTATTATAGTTGATGTCAGTTCGTGATGGAAACTTTATATGTAATTCCCAACTAACGCAAATCATGACAATTATTGCTAACTGGATAATAAAAGCACTAGTAACACTGGCTGCAGCCAGGTACTACAATATATACGAATGATTGGAGAGCTTATTGACTCCTACATAGACTTGGTTATGTGTATCGTGTCGTTATCCACAAGTAGTATTTTATGTGCTCAACAACCGGAGTGCGAATAAACAATATTGAGGTTATGTGGTCGAGGCTGAAAGAGTTCTTGAAACTTTATCATGGCTCCAGAGTCCGACTGTTCTGTAGCCGCATGGATGATTTCCTCTGCTGCATGGATTATGATTTTGGAACCGCTGAACCTCTTTCTAACCTTGACACGGTTTCGAACCACGTATAAGAAGTGTATTCACTTTATTCCCTTGCTTTTGTATAACATATTTTTACTCTACACTTACTGTTTGCTGCTTGGCCAATATTTCTTAAGGTCACTTAAGATTCGTTGAAAGGTCGTCCATGAACTAGAGTCTCGCCCTGTGTACTGTATGTAGACTCTGCATGTTCTAGAATTTACTTATTAGTATCATAATTAACAACCGAAATTAGAACGAACTCATATGGTTCCTGGGTCCGTATTTGACTAACTTGTCGGTTGTATGTACTGGAATCATTAATTTCCAAAATTCGCACCATATATTTCCCAACTTTCTTTACCGCAATACACGCGGCTGGACGGAGATCATCTACACAATAATATGTAACATATTCAAACTCTAAACACCCCATATTCGAACGAACAATCCTTCATTTTAGTAACATTAATGAAGTCTCTTTTGGTACAGAATGTTCGGCATTTCTATATTGCAGTACAAATGTGTCTACTCCCCTCTCCAGTTCATCAAAATGTTAAAGTAGAAGTCGAATTAATAACAGTCTTTAGTGTCACGAAAAATTGTTCGCCCAGCCATTAGAACAAGAGTGACTGGGAGTAATGAATAGATGTCTGCACCCTATACCATTCAACTAGGTAGTCACTGTGTCTGCAGCAAAATGAGAGCCATTATCAGTCACTAGTACCATAGAAACCCACTCCAGACTAAGAGCGTTTGTTAATGCTTGTGTTGTGAAGTCAGACTCTGGCGAAGTTGCGAAAGAAATCCAAAGCATTTGTAAGGAGAATTAGGGATAACTAGTACATAGTATTTACCGAGAAATGGACCACAACAGTTCACATGAACCTTCTTTCAGATTCCAGACGATAACAGCCATGGAGTCCACTTCGAAAGATGAATTATAAACTTAAATATCTTCCACAATTGTTTGCTGTACGAAATATATCTATATTCATCGTCGGTTGTCAGCATGTGGGCCTTACCAAGGATTTCATCTTCTAAACACGCAGATGTCCACAATAACGATCCCCGAGTACAGATTTACGTTATGAAGGAGGAATAACAACACGATCATTTCTATACAAAAATACCATCAGGAGTGATAGGTGACTCATCCCGCCTCGAAAAAGTCAGAAAATTTACGTTTCAGGCTAGTATTTCAACCTTTTCGTATAGCACTGAGTATATATTCAAGTTATCAACGAGTTTCTCTAATGAGACCTGAACTGCTAAGCTGCAAAGGTTTCACTAACAAACAGTCTGAAGTATCAACAGGTCTATCTTGTAATAACAACATGTTGAATGTTGAACCATGGAAGTTGAGGAACATTCTAAGGACGTTTTGGGGTGATAAATGAACTTTAAAGCCTCATGATCAGTAACAAGGGTGATTTTCTTTCCAAATGAATATCATTCAAATATTTTGACGGCACAAAACACAGACAATGCTTTTCACTGAGTATGTGAATAACCCTGTTCTGCATTAGTCCGTTTGCGTGAAACATAGAATACTGATCTACCTGTTCTAAAACTGCATTAATACTCATAGGTGATGCATCAGTAGTAAGTAAAGAATGTACACTGGGTGAGTAAGTTCGAAGAACAGTATCACTTCGAGGAAGCATTGGTCGATTTCATAAACATGAGTCTTGTTCCTTACCCTATTTAAATGAATTGGATGTCAAAACTTAAAATAAATAATTAGCACGACAAGAAACGTAAGAGAAGAAAATAGAATATAATTTAAGAGCACCCACTACTGATTGTAACTCCGTAAGATTTTTCAGAGATGACGCATTTGTCAAAGAGGCTAGTCGCTTCATGTTTACTTTGAAACCACTACCGTCAACTGGGTACCAAAGGCATTCTAGACAAGATACACTTTGTTAGAATCATAAGTATTGAGACCATCTTGATAAAATTCAACACCTTTAAGATCAACAGTTACATTATTCATCACTTCCTGAAATATGTTTCTAGGGCGACTCGAACCAAACGGAGTCAACGAAGTCTACTTTCGAGAATACCTTGAAACCGATCTTCTGCAAATGGGAGTTCAGTGTTGACCTATAATTACCTCATATCCTTGAGGTCTCGACATCAGACATCAAGGGTGGAGCCATAGAAGTACACCGCACTGATAGCCAGATCGGTTTAATTATACGTTTCGTACACAGTGTCAAATGTCCTATGTACTGCTTCTCGAAAACCACAAAGAATAAGTCTTTCAAGAGAGAGAGAATCATCCCTTACTTGAAGTTTTATAGGCTGAGTTCTCGTATCTCCACTGCATTCACCACATCCAGCTATCAAATCCTTAAGAAAACGGATAAGAACGTTCTCTAGAATCTAATAAAGACAAGTCAATTTCAAGGTTGGGCGATACTGAGAATGTAGTTGATCATGACGAATGAGCAAAACGTTGAAAAATCTCACTGATTTGAAATCAAACCCATTAACTGCGTCGTAGTTAGTACATTCTGTTTTAATTCCTTGAAATGAACTTTTTGGGTTCCTGGATTAATTCTCTTTGTAAATTCGGAGTATATATCCGAGCAGTCAACCAATCGCGAAGTTGAGTTTCTAATGTATCTCCAAAATTTGTCTTCGCAGCCTGTTTTTGTAGTTCACGTATAAAAAGCTTGATTTTGTGATCACTTTGCCGCATAATTTTATGAAACTTTGACCTTTCCGCGTCATCAACT